CCGGCTCCTGTTAACGGCTGGAGTTGTTTTGGCCCAGAAACCACCAAACCCAGCTCCAACTCTCGAGTCTCATCTGAAAACTATTAGCGAGCAGGAAAGGCGCTTCTCGGGGCTGCGGGAGCCTCTGCAGAGGGAGGCGAGGAGGCAAAGGGAGCCAGGGCACCCTTCCCGGCGGGGTCAACGCACAACCAAGCACGGCACGAAGCCAAGGCTGCTCCGACCGCTGGCTGGACTCTGCGAGAGGCACTAACGTTGGTGATCTGCGGCGCTGCAAAATAACCCTCTCGGGCCAGCAACACGGTACACTTCACATCAGCTACAAACCCCTCTCTCCCCCTGCACGCTACCAGAAAGCGTGATTTTGGTCTGAGTCCCTTGAGAGGAGCCAGCTTCACCTCTCTGCAGCCCAGCACCACGCTGCAGGGTCGTTCCCTCGACGAAGAAGCAGGGCACAGAGAGGCCGTGGCACACGAAACCCGGTGTCCACGCCAGCTGCCTGAGCTCGGGCGAGCGTCCCGGCTGCGCTGCCTCTGCCATGAAAGAGCGGGCGCTGCCCTCGGGGAGGCAGGACACTTGCAGCCAGGCTCCGGCAAGTGGGGTACAGGATGGAGCCTGATCCGGATTGAGCTTCTCCGGAGCTCCAGGATCAACACCAGGCTGCGGGACTCAAGGAGAGACCCTGGGGACAGGGGCTGTGTGCGGGAGAAGCAGCACATCCCAGCATGGCCGCCGTGCAAGCTCCCACCACGCTGGGACGGCAGCCGCGGGGAACTCACAGCAGAGCCCGCACTTCCCCAAGCCATCCAGCTCCAGCCAGGAAAATATTACTTCATAATCCAGAGCATAAAGAGAGATTTACGACCAGACTCACCGCCTGCCCCTCGCCCCTCTGAACACTGCCTGTCAGGGTCGGACGGAGCCGAGTCACAGAATCACAAAATGGTAGGGGTTGGCAGGGCCCTCTGTGGGTCCCCCAGCCCAACCCCCTGCCCAAGCAGGGTCACCCAGAGCAGGC